GTGTGTGTGTGTGTGTGTGTGTGTGTGTGCATTTATAGTGTGTCCACTCAGCATACATGCAGTCTTTAGTGTGCTTGTTCATCCAGCACTAGTGCAAATTCATTTCAGCTGGTCTGGTTCTTCTGTCTTCCATGCGGGACAGTCCTGTTTCTGTTGTCCCCTCCCGTCTCTGGATGCCGGGACAAAGACGCGTTGCCGTGGTTTCATCCTTGGTTTGATGCCCTTGGGAGCGTTAAGTTCTACACACTCATCCGTCAGTGTGTGACGAGGACGTCTTGTCCTCCATCGTCATCACCCGCCCATTTCTTCTCTCCCTTTTTCTCATGTGTCCTCTGTGGTTCCGCCACCCACAGTTTTAGGAGTGTTGTAACATCAGTTATTCCGTCCATCCGTCCATCGGTGGGCCTGGTCCTTTCTCAGAGTGGTCCCACCTGCACCGAGTCGAAAGAACACAATATATATTTTAATACAGTCTATATTAAAGCAGAGGTTCCCAAACACTGGGGCCCGGACCGGTAAAGGGCCGTGAGTCACGTCGTAATGGCCGCAGAGAAAAAGATAATTAACACTGTACTGTATGTGCACTTTATTGATTGGGCAAATGGTGTCTCCTCCCAATTACAAACGCCTGTTTACACATTTCAAAAGACCTTTCAGAATAAAAGCCTTTGGAGACAAATATCAACATCATGTTCCACTCGTACGCAGATGACACCAAACTATACAACATACTTTTGCTCTCTCAGCCTTGGTAACAAATAATAATAGTAATAAATTCAGGCTATTCTTATAGCACATATATACATATATGTGTATATAATTATGTTAAATATATATGCTGCATTTTAGTTTTTTGGCAACTTTTGTTGCTTTATTTCTGTGAAATACAACTCTCACAACAATAACAAATGTTATTTGTTAATTGCTAATTAAAAGCTGACTGTTATTCGACTCCAACATATATGTGGTCTGGCCCCCGGTGCTGCGTACCTTCCTCTGTTAGCTTATGAATGCTGAAGGGTCAAAAGTACATCATTGAGCCGCCTCCTCCTCTGTTCTCGGCTGCAGAGTTCTTCCTGCTCCGGTCTCCCCCTCTGTCCTTCCTCTCCTCCGTTCGGGGTTCTGTTGGGCTGCAGTCAACAAATACTTCATAATCACAAAAACAGATTCTGCTGCAGAACTTTACTCTCTCATGTGGCTCGTGTTAGCTCACATCGGCGCTGGCAGTGAGCGAGCTGCACGTGTCCTGGCCCTGGTGGACGGGGTCACTGCTGATAACCGTCACCTCCACCCCCACGTCCTGATCTGAGGGTTAGAAGTTAAACATTGAACTAAACGTTAGACAAAGTGTTTCAGGAAAAAAACAAAAAAACGAAGGAAAAAAAAAAAACAATTTTTACAATGACGCAAATGCTAATGTTCTTATTCCCCTCATCCACAATCGTTCAGCGAGCCTTTGATGGAAACTGTGTGGTTTCACTGCTAATGGGGAAAGTTGATGCCCGCCGGCTTTTTGGACACCGGCTTGGATGAGAGAAATGGGGAAACATTTCTGTAGGCTGCAATTCTGTGGTTGGAAAACTGCTTTAGTTTTTGCTGCTGAGTTTGATATGGAGAGACAAGCCAAATATGAGGATTAGGAGCTGGAAGAAGAGCACACACACACACACACACACACACTCAAGGTTTAAGACATACGTGGGACACCCATGGTGGTCTATAGCACGTAGACCGCCTCCGTCTGTGATGTACAGTCGTCTCTCTCTCTGTATCGCGGTCCGGCTGTCACGCCCTCAGTGCATCGTGGGTTTTTGCGGTGTATATATATATATATACACCGCAAAAACACACGATGCACTGAGGGCGTGACAGCCGGACCGCGATACAGAGAGAGAGACGACTGTACAGCTCAGACGGAGGCGGTCTACGTGCTAGAGACCACCATGGGTGTCCCACGTATGTCTTATACCTTGAGTGTGTGTGTGTGTGTGGGTGCTCTTCTTCCAGCTCCTAATCCTCATATTTGGCTTGCCTCTCCATATATATATATATATATGTTTATATAATATATATATATATATATGGAGAGGCAAGCCAAATATGAGGATTAGGAGCTGGAAGAAGAGCACCCACACACACACACACTCAAGGTATAAGACATACGTGGGACACCCATGGTGTTCTATAGCACGTAGACCGCCTCCGTCTGAGCTGTACAGTCGTCTCTCTCTCTGTATCGCGGTCTGGCTGTCACGCCCTCAGTGCATCGTGTGTTTTTGCGGTGTATATATATGTATATATACCGCAAAAACCCTATAAAGGGTTAAAGAGTGTGTTGTAAGCACAAGTAGAGTTTGGTGTCGTCTGCATACGAGTGGAACATGATACAATGTTAATTTGTAGGCATTTTCTAGCCGAAGAGGAAAAAAAATTTGTAACACATACTTACAGGGTATTGCGAAAAATAACTTAAGCGAGAAGTTTTTTGCCGTATTTCTCGCCCGACGATGCCTCCTAAATGGTTCGTAAAGGGTTAATATACATCGAGAAGTTTTTTGCCGTATTTCTCGCCTGACGATGCCTCCTAAATGGTTTGTAAAGGGTTAATATACATGTTAATAATATAATAACTATCGCGTTTTTTACGCCTATCGCGGGCCGTCTTGAAACACAACCGCCCACGATAGATGAGGGATAACCGTACATCGAACATCGCAAACGGACGTGGTTACGGTCCCACCACACACACCCACACACACACACATACACACACACCCAGGCGTACACAAACACCTACAGAAACAAAAACTAACACACACACTTGCTTCATGGACCTGACTTGATGTGGCTGTCGTCCCCACTGGCTCCGTCACAGTACGGATGTTCGTAGTCCCTGTCCTCGTCTCCCTCCGCGTCTCTCTCTCTCTCCCTCTCCCTCTCTCTCTCTATCCTCAGTCGGATTTGTCGGTCTCTCACCAGCTCCCAGTTCCTCACCAGGAACACGCGCTGCTTCACCACATCGCTCCTGCTCCGACACACACACACACACAGAGAAACCATTACCCATCATGCCACCTGGTGTTTGGCATCAGGACGTGTTTGTTTGATTCTCGTTTTACCTCTCAGTGCTGCTCAGAGGAGCCATGTCCAGGTGAGGGAACAGGCTGGCGATGTCACTGAAGCTCCTCTCCTGAGGCAGTGAACGAACGAACGTCAACAAAAGATGGACAGTAAAAAAAAAAAAAATCTAAACTTCAGTTTTCCGTTCTGAACTTACAGCCATCTGGTGAGAGGATATTGTTCTCTCCTTCAGGCGGCCTGGGAGAGAAGACGAGAGAAAAGTATCGATCAGCACCGAGAACAGAATCTGAAAGTAACACATCTGATACTGGAGACTCACAGTAACGACGCTTCCTCTTCAGAGGAACGGCCGGCTGTCTGTAGAGCTGTAACCAAATAAGATCGGAATCACAGACCTGTATGTGTGTGTCAGCGCCACGCAAGTACTATTCTAACAGACACAGTTTTACAACCAGGCAAAGATCCCAGGGCGGGGGTGGGAGGGTCGGGGGGGGATGTATTTATTATAGTGAGTCAAGCCACCGATCATAAAACTGTCTAAACCAAATGTCATTTTTTAATTCAAAACAACAACAAAAACTGTAGTTAAATGAAATGATAACAGCATTTTGTTATAAAATAAATAAGTACTTAAATAGAACAAAGAAAAACAAAAATCAAATATGTCAGAATCTCAGTCAGAATTCAGAAATTAACACATGGTGATTGAAAGCAAAACGGCCACAACTGGACAACTGGTGGGCCGGCTGTGGACCGCGGGCCACCATTTGAGCCCCATTATAGGCCGTACATTTGTAGGCCTTTTCACTGTGTGCTGTAAAGCAGTGTTTTACCTGGTTGTGCTGCCACAGCCACATCACTTCGTAGGGCAGCTGGAAATTAATCCTCTTCAGCCTCAGGTACTTTCCTGTTGAACAAAAAAAACAACAACAAAAGTTCAGAAACTTCAGCAGTTTATTTGGACCAAACACACTCAGTTTAATCAACAACAACAAGTTAAAGCCCAGGTGACAATAGTTTCATGAATCTTTTACAGTGTAATCCTTCAGAACTGCGAGGGCCGGGAGACAATCCCAGCTGTCGTTGGGCGAGGGTTGGGTTACAACCTGTAGAGTTCACCGTTCTGTCACCATTACTGGGCCACATATCAGGACTCACACAACCATTCACACTCACATTCACACCTACGGTCAAATTTGAGTGAAAAATGAATCTAATCCTGCTTTCTGTTTGGGCTGTGGGATTGAACAGCAGACCACTTGCTGTAAGGCAAGAGCAATAACCGCTTGTGGCTACAATGTGGACCATAGAAACGGGTTAGAAATGTCAAATTTAGCCTACATATAAAAAAATAGCCAAAAGTGGTAGAGAAAATGACATCAAGTCAAAATAGTAAATTAAAGTGCTAAAGGTTAGCTTCAATTTGACTATAAAATTCCTATACATTGCGAATAAGAATATTTCCATAAACTTTTCCACAAGCAGTTCCAATTCCAAAAAGGTTCAAATGTACCATGTGATAAGCAAATAAACTAAAAATAGATAAAGAAAAAGCTAAGGGTGATGCATGAAGTAAGCTAAATGTAGCCAAAACATCTAATGGTTAGCGACAAGCTTGTTGTTAGCTCAAACAAAAACAAACACATGCCGACTGAAGTTTTAAATTTCCCGTCCTTTAACAGACTGTTAAAACCAAACTAACTTCAGTCTCCGGGTCAGGTCTCGACTGAGACACAGAACCTGAACACACTCACCGACATGTATGGGAGCAGGGAGCAGTGTGTACTCGTGCTCCCCTGGTGTGTACTCCAGATTCTCTCTGCACATATGCTGAGCTGCAGATGAAGGGCTGAAAAAGAAACGGTACGATTGATTAACACAAGAACTAAAAAATAATAAGAAGTTCATTTGCCCCAGAGCTGGGACGTCGACAAGTGAAATGAAAAAATGATAAAGTACAGAGAAAAATAGTGTGTTTTCAGGTCCTTTTGTCAAATCAATTTAAATATTCCAGGCCTGTAGATGGCAGTGATGCGCCTTAAGTTCATTTGCATGCCATGAAGAAGATTTACATAGACAACATCAGAAAGTTTTAATTTCATAACAACAGCTGCCCTTTAGCTTTTACTATCACCTTGACATATGTTACTAGGAGCTAACGTTAGCTACAACAGTCCTGGTACAATTACCAGAGCTAACGTTGGCTACAATAG